GCTACGCACGGGTGCAATGCCGATGCTGAATATACATATGAACGCGTGTGATCACTACTAATCATGCGCTATTTATAGGTTCGCGCCATCGGCCTCCCGGCCCGTACCGCCGCAACCGCTGTGTCCCTTACATGCTGTAAAGTTATTGTCATGGTTGAGTTATGGTTATTGTGGCTTATCCCTAAGAGAAAGACATATAGGGCGTTCCAACGATAACATGTAATCGAAAATTTCAAAGAACACGTCAATTTTCATTTCTAGGGGGACAAGTTCTGATATGAAAATCATACCAGTGCGATCAGCAACTACCCACCCCTATTTTTTCAAATGCTTGAGAGGTCGAGTGATACATCATTTGAAAGGTTTTTAGTCCCTCTATTACCTCTGTAATTTTTTTCGAAATTGTTTCATTCGGTATTAAGAAGTTAAATGTTGAACGTTTTATTTAAGAAAAAACAGAAAATTCCTTGTCGTTCATTCCAATGAGGAAATCCATTCTATAAAGATCCACTTGTACAGACCATATTGGCATTCATACACTGGACGTATAAGAATGGAAAACACATCGAATTTGCATGGACTCCTAGTCACCAAGGAATCTCGGGTAATGAATTAGCAGATCAGGCAGCCAAACGAGCTACCGAAATACTTGATGTTTGTAATAATATTCCTATTCGACTGTAAGACGTACAACATTATTTTAAACAACAGATTATGGATTCATGGCAAACTGAATGGGAGGAAACAGATGCAAAGTTGAAAGAGGTAAAGCCAAAAATCACACCCTGGAGGCATTCTATTCCATAGACACGAAAAGAACATACTGTGATTACGCGCTTGAGAATAGGTCTTACCAACTTAACTAATATATTCATGGTCTCAGGAGAACAACAACCAATATGCCAACAATGTAGGCAGAGGCTAATAGTGAAACGTATCTTGCTAAATTGTGTCCAATATGATGAAGTTAGGCAACGATTTGAAATACCAAATTCTATGAAGAAATTTTTGAAAGATCATAATGAAAGTTTGGATAGAATTATAAAATTTATGAAAGCTATTGGGCTATACTCAAAAATTTGAACAAGAAAGCAAATGATAAACAAACTAATAGTAGAAGTCCAATGACCTCGTAGTCGACGCCTTTAAACCACAAAAAAAAACAACAAATAAAATCAGTGGAAACAGAATCAACGGATAAATTGTTCAAAATGACCTCCACCTAGTTCAATACAATAATATAGTCTACTCTCTAAATCGTTACATACTTTATTCAAGATGTCCGGGGTCAGAAATCGGCATTCCCAAACAATTCTCTGTCGCAGGTCTTCTAGATTTGTTGGCTCACTAGAGTACACTTTCGAATTCAGGTGTCCCCACAGAAAAAATTCCATCGGTGTGAGATCAGGTGATCTAGCTGGCCACTCCACTGGACCCCTTCTACCGATCCAACACATTGTAAAACGTTAGTCCAAAAACTGTCTCACCTGAACATCAAAATGTGTGGGTGCACCATCCTGCTGAAATGTTATTTCATTTTCTACTAAATTGTCATAATTTTCTAAAATTTGTGTAATCACAGGACCCACATAGACTTGTAATATATTTAGGTATGTGTCTCCATTGAGAATACCTTCAATGAAGAATGGTCCAACAATATGATTACCAAGAATGCCTGCCGGCCCAGACATTCAACTTTTGTAGAGTTTGTGAATGTGTTTCCATCACTAAATGAGGATTCACATCGTTCCAGTAACGGCAATTATGTCTATTCACTTCACCATTCAACATGAAAGAACTTTCGTCTGAAAAACATGTATTGTGTAATAGGTTTGGGTTATAGGTCAATTTCTCGCTGAACACCTCACAAAACTGAAGTCGACGACCAGGATCATCTTCGTTTAATTCCTGAACTAGCCTTATTTTGAAAGGATGTAATTTGTAGGCTTTCAAAATTCGAAAATCACTAGTAGCTGATACACCAGACGCTCTACCTACTTGTCTGACAGATTGTCGATTATCCATGTACTAAAACTTCAACTCCGTCATTTCTGACAGAACGGGATACTTCATGTTTTCTGTTGTGAACATAACCTGAAGTTCGAAACTCATCCATAACTATATCCATTAACGTATTGATGGCTCACGTTGTGGTCTGGATGATTGGTATTATACATTGTAGCAGCAGATTTAGCACATTCATTATTTCGCTAATAGGTTGCACCAATTTCTATTCTTTCGTCAGTAGAATAAACCATGTTTGATTACAGTCAACAAGGATGACTGAATAATAATTCGTGTAGAAGTGACAGTGCCAACTATCTACCTACTTTTTGTTCTGCGACAACTAGATTCAACAAAAACTACCAGTGCAGAAAAAACTAACAGTGTTCTCCATTTCAAAACGTGTACTAAAAATTAAATAAATTCTACAAATCTAGGAGACCTGCGATAGAGAATTGTTCGGGATTGTCGATTCATGACTCCCGACATCTTCAATGTAATGTAAGGAACGCTTTCGAAAGTAGACTGTATTCTTGTATGGAACTAGATGGAAGTCATTTTGAACACTTTATCCGTTGATTGTGTTGCCATTGATATTACTCTGTTTTTTCTTCAACATTAAATTTATCAATAACGACTGAACCAATTTCGAAAAAATTTACAGAAGTGATAGAGGGATAAAATGATGTATCACTCGACCACGATGCCATTGAAAAAAATAGGAGGGGTAGTTACTGACCGCAGGGGGGTGAAGTTTTGGGTATGATTTCCATATCAGAATTAGTCCCCCTAGAAATAAAAATTGACGTGTTCTTTGAAATTTTTTTCGATTACACGTCTGATTCCGACTCACACGGAGGTCAAGTTTTCATTGGAACGCCCAGTACAGTACAGGTCACGGCTGATGGCGAGCGATCGCGCAGGTATAGACCCTCCCAACTGAATTACTATTGGATTACGATATGCCCCTTGCCGGCTAATGTCGTACCTATAATTTTTAATTAGGGTAGCAAATGGAACTTGTCTCCTTTGTAATTTTTCTTCATATTAAGTTTGGTATTATAGGTAGTAGTACAGTTCAATTAAATGTTATAAAATGATACACTTATCCAAAAATAAACTTCAATCAGTCACTATCTGAATACACATTTTCTTCATCTTCACTGCTGCTTTTACTAGAGCCGCAATCGTCATTTAAATTTATAATCATAGGATTAACCTGTTTCTTTTTCCCGATATTTCCGCTCTATATTACTACATGTCGGCAACTCGTGCTCCGCCAGTTTCCTCACATCTTTTAACTTGAAAGTTACATTCTTTTGGGACGTTGTTTTTGACAGTAGCCCAAATGAGTAAAATAGGACTCAAATCCGGATGGTAGAGTGGAAGTCGCAAAACGTTATGTCCGTATTCAAGCTGAACCTCATCAAATTTGTATCTGATATGATGCTTTTTATTTACCTTGATTAACTCCTATAATTCAGGTTTGAGCATATTTGGGGTGATTATAATGCTTTCTTCGTGCAGCCAAAAAGTAGAATAAATATTCATTGCACATTTACCCTTAGTACATAGTTGAAATGAAGTATAAAAAAGTGTGTGAACCTATAAAAACGATATGTAGTAAAAACACAAAAGAATAAATATGTAAACAAACTTACAAAAGCAATTGTCAGTAAGATATATTTTATACTTCAATAATAAAATTTATTTTCGTCAATGGATACAATATGTACATATGGCAGGTTAATTAAAAAGAAAAATCATACTAATAAATAACATTTATGACATTAACGTCAGACTTATTCAGAAAATAACTACATTAAATTATCGTTTAGGTATTATTCCTGGCGACTATAATAACACTTTTCAATGATCAAGGATTTAACACGGTTATAGAACACATTTTCGGATTTCCGAGTTTTAATCGAAGTTGGCAGATTATAATACATGATGATCCCCTTATATAGGGGTGATTTTTGGAATTTAGCTGTCCTGTGGAGGGGTATTCTCAATTGATCAGCATGACGTGTATAAAAATTGTGAGAGGATCCATTAGTTGTGAGTTGAAATTAACAGAGGTAACAAAAGTATAACAAAGAAATTACATTTTGAAAGAGGAACTTAAACCTCCTTTTTCCATTCGTTTCGAGAAATGTTTACTCTACTTTTTGAAGTTATAATTCTTTTAGCGAGTTAGGGAAAAATGATGAGAGTTAATTTTCACGATGCGCGCACACCGTTACGAAAAACCGACACCCCGAAGTTAGCTTCTTCTTCTTCAATTTATATGGCCATTGCTTCTCAGTCGAGCGTATTTGGCCAGGCTGCTCCTGTCTATAGTGAACAGAAGCTTCGTTCGGGGGCGCAGCTGTCTTGCTAGAAACAATGCTGCCATCCAAAGTTTTCTCATTCACTTTTTCCTTAATACATATTGCTTTGAGTACGTTCGTGGAATTTGAGGTTACTTGAGGTATATACACATATTCATATACACATACATACACATATACGTGAATACAAAACTTATTTATCAACTAGAAACACCTGAAGCGAGTAAAAAAAAAAAACAAAATGAAGGAAACATTTAGGAGAGTTAAGCAAAACATTGGGTGAAAAACTTGTGTGCAGCAAGCTAGAAGAGTTTATTTCATCAGTTGAGACTTCCATTGTCTAATATAATCTAAATTGATTTGAAATCACTGAAAAATATGAAAGATTAACCGAAAATAACAATTTTATTAAAACAAAAAACTGAAATTACAAGGAAATAACATACAAGCTACAACCAGAAAATAAAAAATTGAAATATTAATAGATACTATCGAAATAAATTTCAATAAATAATTGGAATATATGAATAAACATAAACGAATAATCGATAAAATCATAACAAGAAATAATTTAATAAAAAACGAAGTATAAATTCTTACGTGCGTACAAAGTACACACTCTTTTTTTCTATCATCAATATAAACATTAATACTTGTGTCTGTTATAATCATGACGTAACCAATTCAATTCAAGTCAATACAGTCTTCGATATGCAATACACTGCTGTACAACGTAGTTTCGCCTTCATACATTCTTTTCTTAGTTCACCTCAACCGGTTAACCCGTTTCGACTTGATTTCATTCATTTTGTAAATGTTCCAAATTGATTTTCGGTTCCTCCAATTCTGGCTCCAGCGTTCTAGCAGATGTTAAATAAGCTTTTGCCAAGTTCACTTTTCCCGTCTTATGATGCAAGACAGCTAAATTGTTGAAAGCTGAGGCATGTGCGGAATCCGATGATAAGCATAAATTCAAACATTGGATGGCCAGTTGTACGTCACCAGCTGCCTTGAAATGAAACAAGAAGATTAGATGGCAGCTATGTTTTATCTTAGAAGTATGTTTTTTTTGGTATTTTCAGACTCGTGGACCTATTTGGTGAAATTTTTTATCAAGTATTGTTTTTTTGACGTAGCATCCATTATACGGACAAATGTGTTTTTAATATCTTCTCGTCATCTTCCTAATATAAATCCTCAACTTGAATTGTTGATTATAGATACAGGGTGAGTCAACAAGTTTCCCTTGTTCCATTGCTATCAGAGGAAACAATTTTTAGAACTGCTCAACATTTTTGAATAAAGCATTTTTCTATTTCCAGTCTGTGATATAGAAATTAAAACCAGATATCACAATTGAAAAATAAGAAATCTAAAGATAATTACAACCTAAATAGTGAGGTTCTAAAAATGGTAGCTGATTCACTTGCTAACCCATTGCACATTTGATAAATACATGTATAGAGAGCGAAACTCATCCTCAAATATTTGAAATAGCTCTAATTACTCCTATTCATAAGAAAGGTGAATGCAACAACACAGACAGTCACAGGTTTATTTCCAACATAGCTGTTATCTCAAAAATATTTGAAATTGTACTAAAAAATAGATTGTTAGAATATTTTGGTTAGAGACAGAGAAGATCTACTATCGGTGCAATCTGCGAAATGTATAAAAATATTTTATAAGCTTTTGAGGAGCGTAAATTGTGCTCTGCAAAATTTTATGATATGTCCAAAGCGTTTGATACGGTGGACCACGGTGTATTATTACAAACATTAGAATATTACGGGATCAGA